TTTTTTTTTTTTTTTAACTTAGATTACTTTTTTTTTGTTATCGGGGATCAAACTCCAGGCCTTGCACTTGCAAGGCAGGCGGCAGAACCACTGAGCTAAATCTCCAGCCTGAGTGTTTCTTAAGAAGGAGCTCAGGACCGAAGCTGGCACTTGCCAGGTGAGCTGCCTTCCCCTCAAACACCCAATCAGTCACCGACAGACTCTGTCTCCTGATACTCCTTCTTTCAGCTTTCACCACAGCCCTCGGTCCTGGGCTTGCCTGCCACAGCACCCTCTGAGCTGCTTGCCATCTGCAGTCTGTGCACATTTATGCCCGGCTGAGTCCCTTCATCCGCATCCCTTCCCTCTTGTCTCCTCCAGCCTTAAAACCTCTTTGTAAGGAGCAGCTAGCCTGGCCCGTGGACACTCTGGGCCCCATCCCGAATGCCTGCCCCTTGGTTTCTTTTCCTAGGTCCTCCTGAGGGCCTTTGTTTAGCTTGTGGCCCAGGAGCCCTGGCCCCCCACTCTGGGAAAGGCTGTTTCATTTGCCTGCAACCCTCTCCCTGGTGGCCTTTGTTCCTTTTACAAAATCTAAGCCGCTTCTGTGTGTGTTCTTCTGGATTTTGCATGGGTGCAGAAAGAACATAAAACTGCTTCTTACCTCCAACATTATTAACATTTAACACCAAGAACCCTTGCGGGCCTGTGACAGGCTGTTGGGGGCTACTTTACAACACTTTTAGAAGAAAAACTAACTCAGCAAGAGAAGGTACAGGATGTATTTTGTCTTTTAAAGTCAGAGATTTAAAAAAAATATATATATATGTTCAATATTTCTTCCCTGAAAATGATAGTGGTTAAGAATAGCTTGCTGTTATATATCATAACTTTTTTTTTTTAACGCAGGGGAGGGGGAAACTGAGTGAGAAAGGAAAAAATTACACTTGGGAAAACTTTGCTTTCCCTATTTTCTTCCAAGTGAAGAACTCCTCCCCCAAGCAAACTTACTCAATCAAAATTTTAAAAAAATAATTTGGATCTTGGTGGATTAAGAGAGAAAATGTTCAAAGAGCTCCGCAAATGCCTGACCAAAGATCAAATGTTGCACAAACTGTTTCATCCTGCAAGGAATGCATACTAATCCACATGCAAATTGAGTTAGATAGGTAAAAATGAGGTAGCACCTAGAAGGAAAAAAAGCAAAAGCAAGTGCATATGGCCCAAAAGGTCTGCAAAAGAGTGAAAGGGGGTGAGTAGGGTTTGGGAATGACCAGTGGGTTCATGGGTAAAGCAGCTAAAAACAAAGTAAAGTTGAATGCTGTGACTTCATGTGACTATGGACTGAGAAACTGGTCCACACTGAGCAGCCAGACTGAGAAACAGGGCTCTGCAGGCACAGATCCTGAGAATATTTGCCTCCCGTCTGTGTGAAGGAAAGTTTAGGAGTCTCTCTCCCATCAGGGGAAGATGACTGGCAGGGGACAGTGATGATCATGACTGGTTCTACTTTCGGATCATTTTCTTCATTCCCGAAAACATTCTCGTTTCTTCACTTTCTAAGGGGTGCATTTAGAGACACCAGGCTACAGAGCAGAATGGTAAGTGTTTATCTTACCTCTTCCCAGCAATATTTAGAACTGAGCTTTTAGAATGCAGGAAGATTGTGCTCCCTGTGGATGAATCCATTAGGAAGAGTAAAGCCAGTATCTTAGCATAGAGCACACAGGAAAAAGAATCTAGTAAGCAAAGGGGTGTGTGTGTGTGTGTGTGTGTGTGTGGCCAATCCAGGGATATATAGCTGGGGATAAATAACTGATTTTGTTTTCTCATCAGATTCCTTATCTACAGACAAGGAGATCACTCTTTTTATACACTTTCCACTGCCTACCTGCACTCTTAAGGTAGACTGGAAATCCGGGCAGGAAAGTCCTTCAGAGCCAGAGAGAAAATGCATTCGAATGAATTCAGGCTATGTTCAGTCCTTCCTTAAATCCTTTCCGTTGGGATAGTTCCCTGCTTTGGAGAATGGTCACCTTAGGGAGAGGAAAGGAAAAAGGAACTGGTAAAGGGGACCTAGAAGGGAAGGGAAACCCCAACAAGAAAGGTCAAGGACAGCAAGGAAAAGACAGTCAAGACTGCACAGAGGCTCCTGACAGGGACTACCTGAGGAACAGCTCCAAGCTGGGCAAATAAGGGACCAGGGGTGATGGTGTGGGCAAGCAAAATCACAAGGGCTGGAGGAGAGGCAGTGGGATTAGACACTGCTGGGGAAATGCGGCCAAGGTAAAGTTGAGAGTGCAACAGGGTTAAGGTAAGGCTTTATTTTTCCTAGCAAGAAGTGACATATATGATTGTGATCAGCAGGAAGAAACCTGTGCTCAGAATTAGGGAGGATGGAGTATAGGGATTCTGGAAGGGGGAGACTGCAGTCACATGTCGCATGTCATGTGTGTCTACTGGAAAGGAAGGTGTCAATGATTTGAAGATTTGCCTGATGGTTGCTAGTTTGCACTGGCTAGTAAACACGGAGATGCTATGCGGTATGGGGGTTGAGGGTGTGGATCTGGGGTTCTGTATGATTTAGGGCAAGTGACTGAAGACCTATAAGTCTCACATTCCTTGTGTATAAAGTGAGAGGAACAATAATATCCATCTTTGTGGTGAGAAGTGAATGTTAATACATGCAAAACACCTACAAGTGATTCCTGGCTCATAGCGAATGTTCAAAATGTTAGATCTGGTAATGAAAAATAACAGCTATCTTTGAGACTTAATGGTGGAGAGCTCAAGGTCAAGCCTCATTACGCAGAAATAGGAACTAAGACGGCAAATAGTGATTAAACTTGAGAGAGGACCTCCAAACAATATAGGAGAAATAACTCCCAACATCAGATATGCCAAGGTCGTGTTCCCCAAAATCAAAGAACGAATTCTAAGGCATAACAGAGGTTAAGAGTAGGAAAACTAAATTGGGAGTGGGGGGTGCTCCTGGGAGGAGGGAGGGGATCTAAGTGAACCTTGATTTGTAGAGCAGAATCATGAGGTGTGTACAGCATTGGATAAAACTATAATCAATCAATAAGACTGCAAGTACAGCAGCTTAGGTAATATGAATCCAATGGGGAAACAAGTCAAGTAGCAAGTGTACATGGAAAGAACAAGGACCTTTTTTGGAGGAGATGGATCCACCTACCTGGGTGACTGATGTCTCTCTAGACTTTATTGGACAAGGTGATACCAATTATAGCATGTTGTTTATCCCTGGGGAAGGCATTTAGGCCTGGTCATTCCATCTTTATCTTGAGGCCTGGCCTTCAACAGATGCACCTCCAGCCACTGTTCTAACGCCTTCACATCTTCTACACTGAGTCCCTCAAGGGCCTCGCCCTGTCTGACTGCCTATGATATTTCTACCTAACTTAGCTGTCCATAATAAATTAACTCAGGACATATTCTGAAGACTGTGTGTGTGTTTAATGGGACTGGATTCCAACTTGCTGTTCTTCTTTCCTAGCCACCCACCCTGAAGAACTTATTTAAAAATTAACCAAATCTGATTAATCAAATCTTGAACAACCCACCATAGTAAATGTTTCGGAGACCCTAACAAGTAGTCCTTTTAAAAACTGATACTACAATGCTTTATAATTCTATATGCTGCTATATATAGTATAACGTTCAAATTCTTTTGGTTAAATTTGTAGTTTCAATCCTAAGATTGCAGAAGCAGCATGTGTCATGATTTTAAGAAACAAAATTTGTAATGATGCCACCAGCATTCATTTATTAAACAACAAAGCTACCAGCAACTACTTATCAAAAAAAGATTGAAGACAAAAAATCAGGGTAGTGGTCTTCATTCTCCCTTTAAGAAAAGGAATGAGTCTGTGGGTGGCCAGCAGCTTGGGAGGGTTAAGGGTGCTGATTCCCCAAGAGGCATTATACAATCACGCCAATTCCCCCATACCACTTGTTAACTTAGAGGGAGGGGTGGAGGAAGAAGCCAGGTCTTCACTCACCCCCGGGGGAATTGGGAAAAACTGTGGCGCTTCCAAGAGGAAATCCTCAAGCTGAAGTCTGGAGCCTTGGCATACAAACGCTGAGCTCTCTCTCATTCCCCAAGTGGGGAATTTACAGCAGGTAGGACAGTTGAAATGGGGACCATCCTAAAACAAACAAACAAAAAACCCCCCTGTAACTCACTTCTTTATAGGAGGCTCCTTTCAAACAAAGGTGAAGGTAGCTGACACTAATTAATTTGGATGTGCTACCAGTGTGGTTTCTCTTTAGACCAACATGAGTGGTCGCTAAGTCAAAAAACAGAAAATGTTAAAACCCAGATAATCACCCAAAGCTTGTTTTCTAATCACCCTCATCTTTCGTGGAGTATGAAGACAGCAGACTTAAAATAAAGATAGGGTCTCTGGGTAAGGTCTCCTTTCCATTTTTTTTTGTACCGGAAATTGAACTTGGGTCCTTGCCCTCACAAAGTAGGTGGCTGGACCACTGAGCTAAATTCCCAGCCATTTGTGGTTTACGTGTAATACACGGTTAATCCACTAAATGACACCAGCACTTTCATCTAGGTCACAGTGGTAGGGAACCTATGATAAGTGTATTTCCTTTTAAGACAAAAGATGTTAACGTATTCCTCCCCCCCAACCTCAGTATTGAGGTTAAACTCGAGCGCGTTGGCACTTTGTGATAAATAAGTGGGTTTGGGGGTGCAGTTGGGGACTCCATCTCCAAAAGGTTCGTCCTCACAGGTCTGAGAGTTTACAGGTGTTGTGTGAAGCCTGAGTATAGACAGCCTTCAGTCAGCATGAAGTTTTGTTCCCACTCTTATGTGTGTGACCTCGGACTAGTTACATTATCTCTGTGTCTGTACTTCCTAATACCTAAAATGGGGTTAACAGTACTCACCTCAGAGGGCTGATAATAGAATTTTTATGAGCTGCACGTAACAGTTTCAGCAAGGGGCCTGACACAGAGTAAGTGCTCAATAAATTTCACCAATTATCATTAAAGCACTTTCAAGTCCACACGTATTTAGCCTACAGATTTTTTAATGGGACAAGGAAGGGGCAGAGGTGGCAGTTCAAGGGTACTCAATCTTAAAAAGAGGAGGTAGAGAAAGTCCGTGGGGGATATTCGAGGGCTCAGGGGGAGTGGGATGCCCCCCACCTTTCATTCTCTACTTCAGGGCAGGCTCATAATCGGCGGGACAGCAGCTGAACTCTGCCTCTCCTTCAACAGGCGAAAGGAAACATTTAAATAATATTGACTAGAGTCAAAGTATTAGCTTTCCCTAGGCAACAACACGTGGGTCAGGCCAGGCGCACAGCAGATGCCCGCGTCGTCCCCCACTGTGTCTGCTCCCGGCGCGTTCTTCGCGGTTTACGAGCATCCGTTCACTCCAAGGGGCACGGCATTCCCTCTTTCCGCAAAAGCTGCTCTCCCAAGGTCACGCAGCAGCCCCGGGATGGGGCTGGACCCGCAACCGCGCGCGGCACGCAGCCCACCGCCAGCG